GGCTTCAGATTGGTTTCACAGGTCGGCGCAACATCGAGGGCCGAAGGACCTGTACTGCGCTGTAATGTTCTATGTTCTATGTAAACTATTTCCACTGGGTGGGGATTCTAGAATGAGGGGCATAGTCTGAGAATGAGGGCCAGACCATTCAGGAGAGATGTTAGGAAGCATTTCTACACAGAAAGGGTGGCAGAGGTTTGGAACGCTCTTCCACAAATGTCAATGGATGCTGCATTAGTTGTTAATTTTAAATGTGAGATCTTTTTGTAAAAGGGATATGAGTCACAGGTATTGTACATGGAGTTAGGCCAAATATCAGTCATTATCTCAGTGTATGGTGGAACAGGCTCGAGGGGCTGAATGGCCTACTCCTGTTCCTATATTCCTAGAGTGCAACAATGAAAGGATGAACAGATTGGGCAGACGGATGAATATGTTCATTTCCCTTTTCTCTCTCTGTCTCTCTCTCTGACCCCAGGGAGCTGATGAGTTTATGGGGCGATGTATCTGCAGACCATCTCTTGAATCCTCCCCAAAGTTGGCATGGCACCCCGTGAGAAGGGGCAACAGAAATGCAGGGGAACTTCTGGCTGCCTTTGAGCTCATTCCACGGGAGAAGGTACGTGAAACATAAAATCAAACAGCCTTAACTCCACACGTGCACCAACACCTAGCTTTAACACCGTGATTTAACACAATAATGCATGTTCCATGACATTTCACAGGGGCATCATTAGAAAAGAACTCTTACAGCGTGTTAGAGCTCAGTCATCACCATTTTGCTCAGGCCTAAGAGTTGCAAAATTATCTTCCAATTCTTCCTCTCCCCTGTGCAGTGGGAAATCCTCTCTGTTTATGTCACACAACACCAGGTTTATTTGGAATCACACAAGCTTTCAAAGCGCAGCCCCTTCGTCGGATGCAGTGAGAGAGCAGGGCACACAGACCCAGAATTTATAGGCAGAGAGATCAAGGGCAGAGAGATCAAAAGACCATAAAACTGGTGTGAGTGGAGTGTCTGAGATAACAAGGTGTAGAGCTGGATGAACACAACAGGTCAAGCAGCATCAGAGGAACAGGAAGGCTGACGTTTCGGGTCTGGACCCTTCTTCAGAAATGGGGGAGGGGAAGGGGGTTCTGAAATAAATAGGGAGAGACGGGGAGGCGGATAGAAGATGGATAGAGGAGAAGATAGGTGGAGAGGAGACGGACAGGTCAAGGAGGCGGGGATGGAGCCAGTAAAGGTGAGTGTAGGTGGGGAGTTAGGGTGGGGGTTGGTCAGTCAAGGAAAGACGGACAGGTCAAGGGGGCGGGATGAGGCTGGTAGGTAGGAGGCGTGTGCGTGTGTGTGTGTGTGTGTGTGTGTGTGTGTGTGTATCTTATAAATTCCAGCTTTCGGAATAAAACCAGCCTGATTCCAGGCTAAAATGCTGAGACAGATTCTGAACAAAGCCTTACACCTACAATCCAGTGTCTGACCCTATTGTATATCCCTGAGGCTCTGCCTGATTGTTATGACAGCCCAGCACTGATATTGACTTTATAAACACTTTACACACCGTCTAATATGCTTGGTCACCTGCAGAGACTTATCAACCTGACACTGCACTCACACCAGTTGTATGGTCTTTTGACTCTCTGCCCTTGATCTCTCTGCCTGTAAACTCTGTGTCTGTGTGCCCTGCTCTCTCTCTGCACCCGACGAAGGGGCTGTGCTCTGAAACCTTGTGTGATTCCGAATAAACCTGTTGGTCTATAATGTGGCGTTGTGTGATTTCTGACTTTGTCCATCCCAGTCCAGCACCGGCACCTCCACATCATGTCACCTGTACTTACAACATCTGCCCTGACATTTTTGCCAAGGTAGGAATTCCATGATGGTTCTGAAGGCAACTCAAGATATTTTTTATTCGTTTCCATGGCACGGGTGTCCATGGCTAGGCCAGCATTTATTGCTCGCCCCTAATTGCCCCTTGAGAAGGAGGGGGTGAGCTGCCTTCTTGAACCATTACAGTCCACTTGCTGTGGGTTGACCCACAATGCCCTTAGGGAGGGAATTCCAGGATTTTGACGCAGGGACAGTGAAGGAAAAGCAATATATTTCCAAGCCAGGATGGTGAGTGGCTTGGAGGGGAACGTGAAGGGGGTGGTGTTCCCATGTATCTGCTGCCCTTGTCCTTCTGGATGGAAGTGGTCGTGGGTTTGGAAGGTGCTGTCTGAGGATCTTTGGTGAATTTCTGCAGTGCATCTTGTAGATAGTACACACTGCTGCTACTGAGCGTCGGTGGTGGGGGGAGTGGATGCTTGTGGATGTGGTACCAATCAAACGGCTGCTTTGTCCTGGATGGTGTCAAGCTTCTTGAGTGTTGTTGGGGCTGCCCCCATCCGGGCAAGTGGGGAGTATTCCATCACACTCCTGACTTGTGCCTTGTAGATGGTGGACAGGCTTTGGGGAGTCAGGAGGTGAGTTACTTGCTGCAGGATTCCTAGTATCTGGCCTGCTCT